CCTTTTTCATTACAGCGACAATGTTTGATATCGCTCTTTGCATTTCAGATGACTTCCCTCGGTTTCAGGTTCAATCTATATCAGAAAATCGTCCGATATTTATTAAATTAGAAAATCAAATAGCAACATAATAATTATGCAAATAAAAAAGCTTTGCCAGGCATGTTTGCTCTACTATGTATATCTATTCACCACATTGACACAACACCCAACTCACCTCACTGCGTGTTAGCAGTGGCTTTTTGCGCTGTAAGAATACCGTTTTTTTCTTATGACTCGCCGCAGGCACTGGCATCGTTGACGTTGTTGTCGTCAAACCAGCAGAAGGAGTTGCACTCGCCACTGAAGCAGCTACCCCATGAGCAGAGGAGACTGTTGCCACACCAGACGCTGGCGATGAAGACGAACTTAATAACGCTGGCCCAAATAGACTTGTCTGATGCTGTTTATGAGTACTAGTTTTTGAATTGTCGACGGTGGGGTTAACTTCAATGCCGCTCTGAAATTTATTTGATTGCATTGAGGAATGAGTTGTTGTATTTACGGCCGTCTACGAGTCTGACGCTGCTTCTCAAAGAACTAATTTTGCAGCTACAACAGGAGGGAGTGTTCGGTGTGCTAACTCAGGGGTGCATTTCGGGGATTGTGGAGAAGGAGAAAATGCTGATGCATGAGTCTGTGTTTATGATTATTGTTTTCTTATCTTAGCTTACACACTCTGGCAACTTCTGGGAACATAAACCGGGCGGAGAATGTTGCATAGAACTTTGTTCTGCATACATATTGAGCTGTTTTTTTAAATTTCGTTTTGGCAATTGATGGTTTTTGTGATTGTTGGTTGTGGTAATGATTATAGTTGATATGTTGGACAAAAATGTGCGGGAATTGTTGTAGTGAATTGGGTGTGAATGATTTTGTAGTGTTTCATTCAGTATAGAGAGCGGTGAAGGCTGGGAGAGTGATAAAATTGCGATCGTTTGGGACAGGGTTGCCGCATGCGACTGCGTTTTCGATTTAATTAGGTGCGTCTAACAAATGCGTGTGTGTTGATAGAATAGAAGGGGGAAAAAGAGAAACAAAATACTAAAGTGTGGTTTTAAGTAAATGAATGTAAACTAGTATGATTATGTTATGCTTGCCAAGCATTAAAAGCTAAATTTTATAGTTTATAGAATATATTACATTCAAAGACTATATAAAGTTTGCGGTATCTTTAGAAAATTAATAAATGTTTTTTTCTCAAATCTCTGTAAAAGAATGAGATTTACAAAAACAAAAAAAAAATCGTGTTCACACGTACTATGTCTGTAGTTACAAGCAATACTCAAGTAGGCACACAGGTGTATAACTCGGTGTATATTTAAGAATTTTGGTATTAATCTGATTAATTGGACCAAAATGAACACCAAGTTATACACCAGTGTGCTACTTGAGTATATGGTAAAAAAAGACGTTTTCAGTTTGCATACCAATATTTAAATATTTTCTTAAAACATAGCTATCTTGACATTCTAGTAAGAGTTATAAATAGGGAAGACAAAAATATGCAAATGCATATTGCATATGCAAATGCATATTATGACACAAAATGCATATTTTGGCGAAAAAGCATAAAAATGCATAAAAATGATTTTTTTTTTGGTAATAAGTTACCTAATTTTCGCATAATTTCATCTGACAATACCTTTGCGGAGATAGCCAGTGTTGCTGACGAGATTTGTTTAATTGACCAAAAAAAAGGCTGATAAACAATGAAAAGCCCCGTTATTTTCTAGTAAACAATTTTAATATACTCGTAAAAAATTTTCGACTGTAGTTTTCCGATAGTCAAGTTTCGCGCTAAACCGGTTTTGGTTGAAAAATTCAATAAAAAATTTTTCGTTTTTAGTTTAGCGAGTTTTATTCTGCTTTTTTTATTGTAACTTTTGTAACTTCTCAATATCAGCAACAAAAATATTTTGTGTNCAAAAAAAAGGCTGATAAACAATGAAAAGCCCCGTTATTTTCTAGTAAACAATTTTAATATACTCGTAAAAAATTTTCGACTGTAGTTTTCCGATAGTCAAGTTTCGCGCTAAACCGGTTTTGGTTGAAAAATTCAATAAAAAATTTTTCGTTTTTAGTTTAGCGAGTTTTATTCTGCTTTTTTTATTGTAACTTTTGTAACTTCTCAATATCAGCAACAAAAATATTTTGTGTGAAGCAACACTTCAATAAAATGTTGCAACATTTTCACCTGGGGAAAGTCTTGTGACGTAGAACGTTCATTTGCAATATTTTCAATACATACATATATGTGTATATGTTAAAAACTTTTCAGGCGGTACTCGAAAAAAATTTCGTTATACATACATATACATTTTTGGGGCATATATCAAGCATATTTATAAAATTTTGGAGTCATTTTAATGATCATATAATTAAGTTTTTTGTGCATATTTTTGTCTTCCCTAGTTATAAACATAAAAACAAATATACATACATACAGCTCCGAATGTATTCAACCCGGAACCCGCTGGTGGGAGAAGAGGAAGAAGGAAAGACTAAGTGGAGAAGGACTTGGCTTCACTTGGCATTTCCAATAGGCGTTAGTTGGCACAGAAGAGAGTCGATTGGCTAGATTTGTTGGGCTCGGCCAAAATCGCTCAGCCAGTTACCGAACCAAAGATGAAGAAGAAAAACATACATACATACAATTTAAGTTTTTCGAACTTCAAAATGGCCCAAACATTATCGTGAATTAAATAAATGTAGCCTAATAGCACCTTTTTATTGAAATATTTAGTGCNCAGTTGGCACAGAAGAGAGTCGATTGGCTAGATTTGTTGGGCTCGGCCAAAATCGCTCAGCCAGTTACCGAACCAAAGATGAAGAAGAAAAAAATACATACATACATACAATTTAAGTTTTTCGAACTTCAAAATGGCCCAAACATTATCGTAAATTAAATAAATGTAGCCTAATAGCACCTTTTTATTGAAATATTTAGTGCACTAAATTTTAAATTAAAAATTTTTCAATTTCCAAAGGTAGAAGGCTTTGTCATTAGTATACGAAGTGACTTATGCCACTTTCAAAATAAACGGCTCAAATATCGAAAGGAAATTTCTTCAGCCTAGTGAGACATATTTTTCTTCACTAACTTATCTATTTTACTTTAAACCCTGTATTATTTATCACGATCACAACAAGAAAAGAATTAGTCGAAATGGTCAAGACGATTTCAAATAATGACGCTCTATACATACATGGGTATTGGATATTTTGGGCTCGAAAAACTACCCGCAACTCTGCACTGTATATATGTATATAGATTAGGGGTCCAAAAATACATGGGGGGGGGGAGGGGGAGGGGTGGGATAAGTTGAAAATGTTAAGATATCACCCCTAGGAATCTAAATGAAAAAAATACCCGTATTTTTTATTTTTTTAAAGTGATACATATTAAGAACTGCTCAAAGCCCATGAAGTTTCCCATGTATTTTATATGGGCAAAAGCACTTCTTCGTAGAAATAGTATATAATTCTTAAAAAGATCGGATCGGAAAACTCGGTTTCTCTTCAGGAGACTTTCAATACTAATACCGAATTGCTTATTTTACCACGAGTTTTTTTATTCTTTTCAGAAAAATCCAAGGGCTTAACATTAAATATTTGGACCACCCTAATGTACATACAGGTACCCGTGCATGCATTGATATTGGTGTCTTTTCATGACATAGATTAATTATCTTTAGTTTCTAAATCAACTACAAAAGAAAATAAATGTATTGAAGCGGCAAATGATGGCTTATCTGATTGCAAAAGTAACTTAGCGGCTTCTCAACAACATCTGAAGTAGGATTCCGGGATCCCGGGATTTTCGGGATTTATAATTTGCACTGATGGCAATAATAGAAACTCCTTTTCTTGACCAGTATTGACTATTTTCTTTTTTTATTTAATAATTAATATTTTTTTATAAATGTCTTGCTCGTTATACATATACATAACACCGAGCGATAGTAAATTTTAAACACAAATATCCATATATTCGCGAAACTATGGGCCAAATATAGTAAAATTGCGTTTTTAGTTTTTCACTCTGACGTCAGTAACTCAAAAATGATTTAAAAAATTCAGAGAAATGTGCTTAGAGAAGAAGTTTATCCTTGAAATTTCGTAATATTTGGTTTTATATAAACTCGTTAACATCCTCGTATTTCGTTCTTCCAACTTTCGTCCTTGTGAATCCAAAAAATTTAAATCTTTTAAATTCTAAAGAAATTTTCTCTTGCATTTGTTACTCACATTTTTATTCTGCATTGCATTGAATTTTTTAATAATTTTTGGAAGTAATCATATCTTTGAAATTACAAAGCTCTTGAAAAGAAATGCTGCGGTCAGAGAGAAAAAATAAAAACGCCACTTAAAATAAAAAAGTAGGTTTCAACCCCATTTATCTATTATTTATGTCATGGTAGGGGGACTTCTCAAACAATATAGAAGCAATTTTTTCGATTCAAGTTGTTGAAAAGTAATGAATATCTAAATCCCGGGACTAATCCATACAACGTCATCCCGAAAATCCAGGGATCGGAAAAAGCCGAAAAATTAACATCCCTAATCTGAAGTCTCATGCATTCAAAGCTTTACATACATGTACTGACCAAAAACTACATGGAATCTATAAAAGTAGCACTAATTAAATTAATTTACTATTTGCAACAGACGAAACTACTAAATATATACTATGTAGGTACCTAAATATGTAAATACATATAAAAAACTAAGGAGGAATCTTCATACTCAACGGTAAGTAAATGCTTTATGCAAAAAAAAAGTAATAAATATATACATAAACATGCATAGCTATGTGTGGAGGTATGTACATGTGCTTGCGCTTTTTTTTTGCAATATACATAGTTGTAAGAGGAACTTACTACATTCGTCNGTGTGGAGGTATGTACATGTGCTTTTACTTTTTTTTTGCAATATACATAGTTGTAAGAGGAACTTACTACATTCGTCGCTTTGCCAGCGGGAATACTATGCGGACTTGCAACCATCGAATCCAGGCCATCTAAATGTGTTAGACTTTTCGATTTTAACTGCAAAGAGAATACACAAACATAAAACAGAGTTAGGCAAACAATTTCGTATTAATTACTGGAAAATAGTTTGAACGAAAAAATAGGGTAATGGAATTTAAATTACGTAATTAAAATTGCAATTGATATTTTTTGGGTAGGGATGGCAAAGAGCGATACAATTTAATTTAAAATAATAAGTGTCGTAAAAAATGTTAAACAAATAACCACAATAAAGAGAAGTGCCCGTAATGCCTGGTATAAACAAGGAGTATTCATTTTTATTGGGTCCGTTTCTACACATTCAATTGTTCTAGTAGGCGTATACGTAACATTGGATTTCTGCGTGTACAAAGCTTAATAAAAATATTAAAAGAAATTAAAAATTTTCTGCTGCAATACACATCGATATTTTCTGCTGGGCAATGCGTTACAGCTTCGCAAATTTACCGAAACAATGTGATAGATTTACATATACTTTTTATTTATTTATGCATTTGGGCGGGTAAATTTTTATGGAAGATTGTTTCGACTATGCACGTATTAGCACAGAAGGATTCTATGTGTAATTCTAAGCAAATTTGCTGAAGAAACCATGGGTCTAAAATCAATTTGGAGTTTGCCAAATTGCGAGAACATTAAAGAAACAACTCGTGAGATTGGTTCATATAATCAATTAAAAACAATTTCTAATTTTTTGTTTAGGAAATTTCGGTAGGGATTCTCAATATAATTTTCCGCCTTACAGGAGTCGTTAAAAATTTATTATCCTTCCTACTCTTGTCAGTCGCAGAAGAAATTTTTGACAGGCGGAATTTTAAGTACGCTACTTCTGGCTAAAGGTAGCCTTGTAGGTTATCGGCAAAGTTGATTCCTTACTTTTTGTCTTTTTTTCGTTTGCCTTCCCTTCGAGTTGTAATTTCCTTCTGCCAATAAGTGTAAACCGCAATTAAGGCTAGGTGGAAACTAATTATTAATGTATGAAGACACTTATGTATGTTCCTTATCTTTGAGCCCTTCCCCTGTTTATGCCAGCATTTTAACGCTAACATAACCTTGAACATAAAAATAAAATTAGAAAAAAAAACAAGGAAGAAAGTCTAAGTTCGGGCGGAGCGGGGCGCAAGTATTTAATGTATGTTTTTCACCTTTCCGAAAACTAACACTACATGGTAAGCGNGCAAGTATTTAATGTATGTTTTTCACCTTTCCGAAAACTAACACTACATGATAAGCAGGGGTGGTTTTACCCCTATTTTAAATATTTTCGATAGAACGTTCAGTTAGAAATAATCAGATAAACTTATAAAGTCATATGTGGGCGGTATCATGCCCATTTTCCCTAATTCCAAATAATCTTACTTATTTTCAAGGCATTGTTTTTACTATCAATTTTGTATAAATTAAGAAGTATCAAAATTTCAAGCATTTCTGAAATTTACCGCTGTATGAAAAGTGGCCGTAATTTTAGTCCGATTTCAATAATTTTCAACATTTTGCCTTTATGTGGCAAGCACAATAACCACACCGAGTTTGGTACAAGTAGGTATAACGGTTAGCGAGATACTTATATGTAATCATAAGTGGGCGTGGCTACGCCCATTTTCCAAAAATGTATAATATTCTTATTTTTCATCTAAAAATCATTGTAAATATCAAGTTTGAATGAATATTCTTCAGTACTTACTAAAATATCGCAGTTTTCGTATTTCTGAAAACTACCGTTATATGGGAGGTAGGCTAGGTAGGTTATTGTCTGATTTTGCCCATTTTCAACACCACCCGTACTACGCCTGAAAGAAGTACACGTGCCAAGTTTCGTTAGGATGTCTAAATTTTTATTCGAGCTATCGTATACACAGACGGACGGACGGACGGGCGGACAGACAGTCACCGCTTATGCCCTGTATGCAGCTCTTAAGAAAACGGTAAGGAAATAATTGCCATTATTTCGTGTGTGTGTCCAAGGAATTTTGACATTTTTGATACTTCATAGCCTGTTGCCTCACCCTTTCCTCAAGAATAATATAGAAATAATATATATATATATTTCTGTTGCAAGCATGGGTTGCCTTGTGCTAATTTTTCACAAAAAACTTAAGAAAACCGTAGTAGAAAGCGTAGCAAATTTCTTAGCCATTTTTTGTACGTCATTTTGCATGGAGGTTTTGCTTTTCTTGAGAGCTGCATACTGACCTTTAATCGATTTCTCTTTTCATTCTGATCATTTATGTATAAATTTGTCTATATCTATCTCGATTCGTTTTGCCTGTTACAAACAAGTTATAATACTCTTGTGCACAAGTGCGCTCGGGTATAAAAAAAAGCAGTTTCGTACCTCGTGCAGACTGCAGAGACTGCAAATGTTGGTATTAATAATAAGAACAAAGACACATCAAAATTACATTTGTTTATATATATGTACATATGTATGTATGACAATACAAAAGTAACACCAAAACAAAAGTAGATATTTATTTATGCCCAAATTAAAATTATACTGTGAATTTATGAGTACATTAAATAAATTGCAACGGGGGTGAGAAGTCATTACATTAAACACCACGTTGGATCAGCTCTCGCCGCACCAAAAATAGTATGTATTTTGCATAATAATAAAAACAACGTTTATAGCTTACGAGCGTGTTGGGATGTATTTTAAAACGACAATTATATGCTTTATTTTGTCGCTGTCGTAAAAATCGCTAAAAGAAGGGTAAAAGTTTTTGCGTTTTCGCGAGTGCATCAAAACAATTACATTTAGGGAAGAGCAATACTACTCAATGTCATCTGCTGTTTAGCATCCCTGCGCACGCACGTTCGCACCACCTCCTACAGCCACTGCTTTCATCCAAGCTTGGCTGGCAGCGCGTGATTTTCAATGCTACATATTTTTCTTGACACTCGAGGTTATTTGGCAAAACAACCTTACATAGAGTAGAGGACGTACTACGCAATGCATAAATAAAATCGGCCATATGCTTTACACAAATTTCACTGATTTGCTCGTAAAGCATTTTAGTTGTCCTAACATGCAACATGCTTAATGACAGGTTGAAGGAAAAGGGCTAGAGTTTAAGGCGCTGTCAATGGCTTTGGGAACAAATAATTTTCTGTAATGATACATAACCTCAAATATAGGGAAAAACAGCTATTATGGCACTTTTAGGTTAAGATATCTTTTAAACCGGAGCCAACAGAGAAATTCTGAGTACAAATTCGAAACCTTCAGAAGGTAAATAAAGGTTTCTGAATGACATTGAGTCAGCTCCAGGAAATTCCCATGTAGAATGTAACGGTGCTTTCTTAATCGAAGCTAGATTCGACTAACTCTTTCATCTGAACATTTTTAATGTATTCATTCCTTTGCGATTATGAATTGAATTTACATAAATATGTATTTCAACTAACTTTGAAATAAAAGTAAAGAATATAAAGGAAAGAATAACGCCCAGTGACGCCCAGGAAAATTATATGAAGTTTTACATGACTACGAAACAGAAAAAGAAATAAATCACAGCAACCAATGTTACATAATTACCCACTAAAGTGAGGGGAAAAAACATGAGCACAAAAACAAAACAAACTATGAAAAAGTGTGAAGGAATCACTGTATTTCATTAAAAATTCAGCTTGTACAGCTACCAAGTAAATTACGCAAATTCCAGACAAAGTAAAGCCCAACACCGGCACAAAAACAATAACAGCAAGCAAAAGGTTGAAATGCAATACGCGGTAATAACATAAAAAAAGACAGGGGGCGAAAGATTGTTGGCAACATGAAAGGAGGCGGAGTTGCAAACTAACACGCAAACACTTCAAATGGGGGCTAAAGTTCATTAACATTTGACACAAGCGGTAACCGGGGGGAAGGTGCGAAAAACATACATATGTAGCCACAGCACGGTTACCACTTCATCAAAATTTTGTGTACCACAATATACAAGTAAAAAAGCCCAAAATAAAATAAAATGTGCTATTTTTTGCCGTCCAACAAAAATATATACAGTGACTCAAACAAGTGACCACGTGTTGATTTTTCTTTATATTCGTATCTAATGATTTTCGAACAAATTTTTTGACGTAGAATACGTCTTACCTTTCTATATGGAGGCTATGGTCAAATGTTGTAGTTGTAATTTTTAGAGCTTTACGAAAAAGCTTATTGCACGAGAACTAATGAAGTTCTTTTAAAGAAAAGTGTGGCGTTTCAAAGGTAAAATTCCAAACATATTGACAGATTCGTAGAAATAACGGTAAATATCGGCTTTTTTGGGTCAATTTTAAGCCTTTAAAGTGCTATAGCAATATAAAAAAAAACACATAAATGCGCTTGAAGTGTGAGAAGGAGACAACAAGTATTTGTGTGTAGGTATTTGGGCTTTTGAATAACAGATGGCGCAATATTTATATTATGTTATTGATTTTGCTATCGATATTTTAGGAACTTATCGATATAATAAACGTTATTTTTTATCGATTTTGTTATCGATATTTTAATCGATTTTGTAATCGGTTTTTTATCGATTTTTTATCGATATTTCTATCGGTTTTGTTGTCGATTTTCCTATCCAGGTTATTATCGATTTTGCTATTGGTTTTGTTATCGATATTTTTATAGACTTTTTATAAATATTTTTATCGATTTTGTTATCGAGTTTGCTATCGATATTATTATCGCTGTTGTTATCGATATATTTTTCTTATTGCGTGCTTTCGTTTTTGACTTGCAAGGTGCTCTTAACCATACCACGTATTCTACGTTTAAATTTTGCGGCTGTGTCTCCGATACAGCTCGCGGACCAACACGAAGGCGCTGGACTTTTCCATTTTTTGTTATTTTTCTATAAAAATACCGTCCATGCTTTAACCAAAACCATATAAACACTTTCACACTTTATTCAAAATTTAGGAATTTTTAGAACATTTTGGGTCCGAAAAAGTGCCAATTTTTAGGCGGTTGAAGCTTGGACTTCACTAGACTAAAAAGTGTGTGCTATAAAACTGCATACCCAAAAATG